GTTTATAATGGTAAATGTTACTTTGAATATTACATGTTGATAACTTGATTGGAATTATAACCCTAAGTTGACAGTTTGATACTTTGTAAATTTTGAGCCATCCCTACCCCCAAGGGCTGTAGGGTGGGGCCCAATGGAGTCCGTGTGCTAAAATAAAATCTCTTCATTTTCCTTGTTTAGAATCAGAGGTGCTAGTTTCAAATACTTTCAGTCTTAAATCTGCATGCTAGATATTGAATAAGGTGGTTTTATTGTTTTTTGTCACTTTGAATAATTTTTCTGTCGATGTTAAAAACAAATATCAACTCTCGGCATAAATATATCAGGTGACCGTTAAGGCCCATGGGCCTCTTGTGTTAAAGATCAAGCCATCTGTCTGTGCATTATTTATTATCTCATAATTTATACTTATGTATACTACCATTGTAACACTTTGTATGTGAAATACCACTTGGATATCAGAGTGCTACTTATATAGTTTCTGGGTACTGAAATTGTGTATATTGCCCCACTATTTTCAGAGTTATGACCCTTTGTTAAATGTATGCCGCAATGTATGTGATTTTTCCCTCTACTAAAGTTTGGCATGTCACATACTGATATAAGATCATCATTTACGTTTTTTATAGCAATTATTATATGCCTCTTCGTGAACTTTCGATACCAAAGTTTGTCACATATTTTGTTTGTTAAAGATCAGATCATTTGAAATACCAGATTATACATAATGAGTAATAGGTCCAGCCTCTTGTTCGTTTATAATTTATGGCTGATAATTAAAGAGAGATAACTCAAGCTTGTCTCTTAGTCTTCATGATGTTTTACAACTGAATATGTGCCATGACAGTTGAACATTTTAGATAGTCGAGATATCTTATCTTACAGATGAAAATTCGGAGTCCAAGTTGCAGTTTGGTACGACAGAGCTCGTCATTCTCATCGCCTGCCCTGTTCTAATTGTCTCCATCCTCTTCATGGTCCTGTTCTTCGCCTACCATCAGTGCCAGCGCAACCGCCACGGTTACCAGCTGCCGAACGACGCATCACAGGAGACGATGCCTTTTGTGCAGCAGGGTCAATCGAGCAGCACACTGCGTGAAATGATGTATGAATATTCTGGGTCTGGCTCAGGTAATTGTTATTTAACAACTGGACTTATTATTTTCAATCCTCCATGGTTCATATGCAAGCTTGAAAAAATACCTTAAGTGGAAAAGTTGTCCTTAAAATTTTTCTAATTATATCTTAACCATGAAAATCCCCTAATTTCTAGGTTCCTATGCAGTGAAAAATGGCCCAAACTAAGACACAAAGAGCCGAAAATACAAATAAATGTAGACTTCAATCATTAATAAATGATAGCTAGGAAATACTGTATGCAATGATTTTTCAGATTTTTTGCCCTAATTTTTTGAGGGCATATTTATTATAACAGTGAATACTACTAAATGGCATAATATACATACTAATAAAAATGTGATGGAAAAAATAAACACGGTGAATTTAGGATTTATCGGCGACAGGGAATTGTTTGACTATAGGCTTTAGTTTCCAGGTACATGGATAGGGTAAAGAATTTTGTTCAAGATTGTTTTTAGGTCACCTGAGACAAAGTCTCAAGTGACCTATTNCATATTAATTTAAACTAAAATTCTTAACTACAATAAGCCAGGACTTTCCTATACAATTTCTGTATGTTGATCTATAAGGAAGCCTATTTTCTCCATGATATTTTAACTCCTTGATATAATCTGGAAGTCTGTGATGTACTTCTTAATAGGTGATGCATCAGGATACAGGAGTTCATATGCAAATACATGACATGGGTGTGTCCATTGTTATATATTAAGTTGAATTGAGAATCCCTTAAAAGTACTGAATTGATCTAAAGCTAGGTGTGAATACGTTTCAATAGGTCTGCCATTACTGGTACAACGGACAATTGCCCGACAGATCCAGGTCCGGGAGACTATTGGCAAGGGCCGCTACGGTGAGGTGTATAGGGGGCGCTGGCGAGGGGAGAATGTGGCTGTGAAGATCTTTCCGTCACGGGAGGAGAGGTCTTGGTTCAGAGAGGCGGAGATCTACCAGACTGTCATGTTACGTCACGAAAATATTCTCGGCTTTATTGCGGCCGACAACAAAGGTATGCTACCGGACTAACATAGCAGTGTAACAACACAAAACCATCCTCTTTATTACAACCAAAATAGAATAAAGAAAAACATTGAAAAATATGTAATGAGCAAATAACCACAAACTGTGCTCAAGGACATCACTTTCAAGGGAGCTTTTGTGTAAGTCGAATCTCCCAAATATAATATTTTATCGTTTAAGTGTTGTAGAAAGTAATTAATATTTGCTTGCACAAATTATTTTTTCATTATTCACAAGTATAACCATAATATCAGGTAGTGATTAAACATGATGTGAGCGAATCATGAGAGTAGTACTACCGGTTTTACTATTCTTAGAAACGGGGGAATTTCTACCGGTAGTACTATTCTTAGAAACGGGGAATTTCTACCGATTCAATGGCAGAAATTCACAATTATCCAGAAGACTATGTGTTCTTAATGGCAAATGTAAAAGATTCCCAATCTGTGCAAACATTTACACTTGATCTAGAAAGATATGTATTTAAAAAGTGAAAATGAAACATTTCACTCGACAAAAGTTCCTGATTTTCATACATGTATGCCAGATTTCCTAGAGACCAGTCTGTGAGTTTTACTATCATTTTAAGGGAGTTGAGGTTAAAGTAAGGGAGGTTTTAGTCGCGGCTAAGTCATGGCGAAACCTAATTTTTGTCCACTTAATTAATGAAATAAACTACAAAATAAACTTTGTTTAGACTTTGACAAAGACACTAGCTAAATTTTCTGGAAGTTATTGGAGGAGTACTTGCATAAGAGAACTTTCTGTAACTTCATATCCCAAGGCTTGAGACTTTACCACTATCAAAAGGTGAATATCGGTGAGATTTTGTCATACACCATGAGACCTTGGTTTATGTATGTATATATAGAAATTATTCTTTGCATTTTGATCAATTAAATAAAAAAGAAAATTTTCATAAAAACACTGTTTTAAGATATCTCACTAAGAACTAAATATATATATTGATTTATTGTGACTTTTTTCTTGTTCTTTTTTATGACATTTCCTTCACAGATAACGGAACATGGACACAGCTGTGGCTCATTACTGACTACCACGAGAACGGCTCACTATTCGACTACCTCAACCGTACTGTGCTCAGCATCTCCGGCATGCTCAAGCTCTCCCTGTCTGCCTCGTGTGGCCTCGCCCACCTCCACATGGAGATCATTGGAACAGAAGGTAAATAGATAAAAAAGTCTAATATCAAAGTTTTACTTTATATACACAAACAATGTATGTTTTAAATGTGTCTCAATGTTTCAAGTCTGACTGGTCCATTTGCCAAGCTATGACTGTATGAGCGATTTGTAATGTTTACCTGTACAAAGAAGTAAGAGAATTGCTGGTCTTGAAACGTTGCGACACGTTAAATACATGAATTGTTGGTGTTAAAAAGTAAAGCTTTGATATCAGATGTTCCCGAACTGGTGAATCTTGGTAAAGAAAAAAAATTCTTTCGTATTTGGATAGTTTGAAATTCTACGACCACTCATCGGTTACTCTTAAACAATTATCCTTTTTATTACCGTTTTATAGATTTAAAGTTTATGCAGGCCTTGCACGGTTTTGTCAAGGCTCGCCTGAAAGTAGCATCAGATTACTAGGTCCTACCCTATATCATTTCATAAAATGAACAACTCTGGTCCAACTGGTCAAACCATTTGGATCGTGATAAACAAAAGTGGCCCTGAAAACTCCACTATGTCTACACACAGTTAAGGCCTTACAAAGCAGTTGGTGACAAAATTAATCAAGACGTCACTGAATATATTGTAGCTAAATTGTCGGCCAGTAAATTTATTGATCACAGCTGTTTTGAAGCTTTGGGTATCCTTTGATGTCACATATTGATGTTGTTATCTCATAGATCATTTTGTTTATAGTAAAAGAACAGTTTCACAGAAAAGATATTTATAATTGAGTGATATATCAGTGATAAGTCTGTCCACCTCGTTGTCATTCCCAGGAAGTAACATCCATGTTGGACCATCTGTTTATCTTGATTTGTTTCTTTTTCAGTTCATGCCGGGAAGCCGGCCATAGCTCACAGGGATCTTAAAAGTAAAAATATTCTGGTGAAAAACAATGGTACTTGTTGTATAGCTGACCTAGGTAAGTAAAAGCAACAGTATTCATCAAAACCAGATGCGTTGTGTGTTAAACAGGATCAGAGTAATGAGATTAAATAATACTTGCTATATTAAACATCGTGAGTTTATTAAATATAATCTGTGATATTTAGAGGGCAAATTATCTCAGAAAATCATGAACAATTACCCAGTTTTGCATTGCAGTAATACCCTGATAACCACCAATTTTTTGCCTTATGTATTTTATCTTACTTGAATTCGGATCCACGTGTTGTACAAGACCAATATTTCAAGAATGACATAAAATTTTGTAAAAAAAAAATCAATAACTGTAGAGCTCAGAAAATAAGTCATTGCTTCGGATAGCAAAGGATATTGTGCTTTTTTGCAGAAACTAAACCCTTCAATTTTTTGCAACTGTTGTCGATTCTGATTGTGTGTTATTGAATTAACAGGTTTGGCTGTGAGACATGATATAGCTACAGATTCTGTGGACATTGCTCCTAACAATCGTGTCGGCACGAAGCGATACATGGCCCCAGAAGTACTGGACGAATCCATCAACATGACTCACTTCGAGTCATTTAAGCGTGCAGATGTTTATGCCTTTGGTCTTGTTTTGTGGGAAATTACAAGGAAATGTTCCCTTGGAGGTAAGGGAGATAATTCAGTACAAGAAGGTGTCCTCTTTAGGGACGGGTAATAAATTGGAACAAGAAGGTGTTCTCTGAAGTGGTTAGGGAGATAATTCAGTACAAGAAAGTGTTCTCTTTAGGGAAGGGTGATAAATCGGAACAAGAATGTGTTCTCTGAAGTGGTTAGGGAGATAATTCAGTACAAGAAGGTGTTCTCTTTAGGGAAGGGTGATAAATCGGAACAAGAATGTGTTCTCTGAAGTGGTTAGGGAGATAATTCAGTACAAGAAAGTGTTCTCTTTAGGGAAGGGTGATAAATCGGAACAAGGTGTTCTCTGAAGTGGTAAGGGAGATAATTCAGCAAAAAAAAGGGTTGTTTCTGAAAGGAAATGGAGGTAATACAGAATGGGCATGATTTTTTGGACAAAAGGTTGAATAACAGTAGATACTTCAACAAAAGGGGTTGTTTCTAAAAGGAAAGGGAGATAATTCCAAACAGAGATAATCCCTAGGACAAAGGGGAGATAATTCAGTTCAAGGGGGTGTTCCTTTGGAGATCAAAATGCCATCATAAGTGGATAATGTTTCACAAAGCATATTTAAATTTAAATTTTAAGAACCCCTCTGACAGAAGAATACAAAGATCATAGTTATAAACCATTCTTTGCTGAAACTCAGAACTTGCACTCAAACCTGGGCTCATCTACAAATCCTAGTTGAGTACCTACCCTAAAAATTGATGTTATAGATAATGGATTTTTTTAACCTGCTGTCTTTAACACTTGATGATGAAATACTAAGTCTGAGCATGAGAAGTTTATTAAATATGGGGTCATATCTGTTCCTGTTTAATCAGACAACTAATCATTCCTTCTAACATGATGTATATGGTTGTAGGTATTGTAGAGGAGTACCAACTGCCGTACTATGACATGGTACAATCTGATCCGAGTCTGGAGGAAATGAGGAAGGTTGTTTGTGAAGAAAAACATCGTCCGGCGGTCCCCAATCGCTGGCACTCCCATGAGGTATGTAAAAAATGACTTTTGATTAATTTGTATGGTTGATGCTTTTAGAAGAATAATGCCATCTGTTTGTAGACAAAATCTTCTCTAGACAAAAGTTTCCTTCAGGTTTCTCCCGAGGTCGTTTACCTGATATGGAGCTGTAACAGCTTCAGGGAGAATTCCTCCCTGCCCTATCAGCTTAGACAATGAGCTGTATCACCTTGTTATTTGTACTGATGGGGTCTTTTACACAAGATTTTGGTACCGATTAAATCACAAGGCTACCCAAAATCCAACAATGACCTCACTGGTCAGCTGCAGGGTGGCCTGTGCTGCAGGGGAACTGTAACAAGTGGGGGTGGGGGACCGGAGAACAATACAGGTGTCCGGCAAGTATGCTTACCCAAGCCTAAAGGAACTAGCACCAGGTCCTCATAGCATGGGCATTAGGACATTAATTTGGGAAAACTACTGTAAGACTTTAATAACAAACACTAGAAACAGCTATATGAATGAATTTACTCACATATGATTTGATTTGACAATGCTGAAAAAGCTAAGTATTCAGTTAGTGGTTGTCGCAATCTTGTTTAAACTGGAAAGCGGAATGAAAATCCAGATTTATTATTATTGACGATAGGAAGGGCCTAAATAGAAATGTTGTTTGAATCTTTGACTAAATGAACTGAAAATATTTACTTTAGTTTTAAGGGGAAATACACCTCTGTAAATCTTATAGAAGTGTGAGAGGAACATTCACAGTTTTAAAATATTTTTTCATTAAATTATTTACAAAACTTGGTTGTATAAATCACCATCACAATGTCGTTTATGTAGGTATGTATATTGTTGTTCTGATTCTCCTGTTTCTAATTATTCACAACGACAATCTATTGTTCCCCTGTTTCAGTCGTTGAGGGTGATGGCACGCCTGATGAAGGAATGTTGGTACCATAATGCTGCTGCTCGACTCACTACCCTTCGCATCAAAAAGACGCTAGCCAGCATTGCCAACCAGGAAGACATGAAGATATAAAATGTGATAATCCCCGTGTGATAAGGGGAGGTAATTCTGATATGGACAGTTCATTATCTCCCCTCCTGAGATTCAAAGGAAGGGGAGGCAACTGATAAAAGACAGATTGATATTTTCCCTGAATTATTTTTTTTTAATTAAAGGATCATAACTCTGATATCGTCACTCCAATGTGACGTGGAAGAGGTGGCAACCTGATTTTCGGAAGATCATCTTAACTGTAAGGAAGTCGGAGACCGAAGATAACTAAGATATGAACAGCTTTATGAATTTCCATTGTGACATATCGAAGAAAAGGGAGGAAACTCTTGTTTGTTTTTATGGATATAATCCATAATGTGTTACGTGTCTTCGTGTGGACAGAGGAAGGCAATCACTTTTAATAGGTTTAATGTGAATGGAGCAGATGCCTGGTAACATGTGTTTTGAAATGTGTACGAGTGAATGTGTGTAAGGTAATTAATGTAAGGAAGGCTGTTGATGTACATGAAGGAGCTGTCTGTAGAATCAGTGATATTGCTGGTTAATTGAAATCATTTAATTTAAAAATCATGTCGGCATTGAATGAAGCAAAGCACACCAATTCAAGTAGAAGATAATCATATGTTTGAGACTTGGATCAAGGGATTTCTGTCTTTTTTTGATGTGACATAGGAGGGCATTACATAAAAAAATCTTCAATTTTTGACCTGTGACCTGTGACCTGTTAAAGCTTTGTTGTGAGTCAGAATGTATTGTTAAAGCTTTACTTTATCAGGTAGGAGAAGCGGGTTTGAACTCTTAGGTCAGGTCACACAAAAACAAGAAAGTGTTCAATAAGATTACTAGTGATTACTGAGGGGAGGGGGGATGGGGGGTGATTAAGGTAAAAAGCACATAACATTGTGTTGTTTTCCAAAAAAAAAAGGAAATATATTCTGTGCTACAAGTCATTATATTTGATTTTTGGTACTTTTCAGGAATATAACTGAGTATATAATCAAATTATTTTTATTCTGACTCCCTAAAAGACCCACAACCTGTATTATTTAATCATCTTTGTTAAATGACCTTTGCTGTTGATAAGACGTTAAACAAAATATAACCAAACCAATCTAAATATAAAGAAAATAATTAAGAAAATAAATTTTCAATGACTCTTTACAGTAAAAAAGTGTCAGGACCCGATACTTAAAAGAAAAAAGGAATTTGTTCATGCAATTGACGAGAAATTAACACATTTCCAAATGTAAATTATTTGAAGGTGTTAAATAATTTCTATTATAAATTGCTTTGAGTAACTTTTTAGTAATAAAGCATTCATTCACTTGTGATTTTGTGAAATTTAGGAGAATTTTTTATTAAAGGTAAGATTTTGGTTTTCATTGAAACCAATAAAGTCCTACAATGGGCATCCACGACCAAAGGGAATGTTGGTTCTCTTGGCAATCATGTTTTTAGTGGTCAATATGTGAGGGTCCTGTTTTCAAGGGTACACATTGGAGATTTCAGTTTATTGGTGCTCTGGTGGTATTAAAAGAATTGGTGTGAAGTATGTCATTGTGAGCATTACTTTATGGCACTAAAAAGGTGAATTATGGCCCTGTTTGGATTGTAAACATTTTGACATGGCACTGTAGGATGGCTCAATCTTCTCTTGTTCATCACTACATCATTAACTCATTCACCCCTGAAATTTCATAATGAACATTTCCAACCTTTGATTTGGAAGAGCTCAAATGTGTCTTCAGGGGTGAATGAGTTAATTAGGGTTTGGAAAGGGTTACTGTCGATCATTTTATATTTGCATGTACTTTATTTTCAGAAATATGTCAATAGCATTTACCTGACATTGATAGGATGCTGTTTGAATATCAGTCGCACAGTAATACATCTTTTGAAGTCAAATTTAAATTGGGGTCAATGTCTTTTCTTGGTCACCAGTGATTTTTAAGTACTCGGATATTTGAATCCTTGACTCGTACTATCCTTGTGAAACTCACCAATTTTTTGAGGACGTGCTACAATTCTTGATGATAGGACTCATCAAAGTTTTGAAGAAAAAAACATCCAATTCTCACTAGAAAAGGTCTACAAAAATCTCTAGGTCACATAATGGTGGGTTCCCAAGGAGACAGTGTTGAAAGTCTGGGCCTGGATGATACAATTAATGCATGATACAATACATATTATAATACCTACTCGGATACATATGTCTATACTTTTACAGTATAGCAATATATATAACAACACGTCTCCGATCTCCAGGAATCACTTAAACGTCTCATAGATGTGACATGTCATTGTAAGAATGCTTTAAGCCTTAATTCAGTGCAATCTTGTTGATATATGACGTCACTGATCTCTATATGCTTGTGTCATCAACATTAATCCATACCAGGGCTAGAAATTAATTTTCAAAACTACTTGTCAGTTGGGCTACGTAGTTTCCAATTTTACAACCCAAATCTACGTGCAAATTCCACAAACCAAATATTATTCAACATGATAAGTAATTTCAAATTTTGACTTGACCATTGGCCTAGTGGTTTTTTAGAAATGACTAGTGGTTCTAAAAACCACTAATCCATCTGGAGATTTCACCAATCCCAGACTATCAGGCTACCCATATTTTCTAGCCCTGCTTGCTTCATGTAAGCGCTTTTTGATGTCACCCAAACAGTGTCCCTGTAAGCGCTTTCCTGGAAGCTTGTAGTCTCTCCATGTAAGCATTTTGCAAACCTATATCCTCTCTATGTGAGCAAATTTTCAATGCCTCCACTGTCTCCATTAAGTTGCTGTGTGAAGCCTTCTACAGTAAGCCGTTATGATTTTGTCATTCAATCCCCAAAAAAAGAGGTTGGGAATAGGCAAAGAGATTAATGTGATTTCTTAAATAACATTTTTATTAACAAAAAAGCTTTATAGAAATGGTTTACCTCCAAAATTCAAAGAAAAATGTTAAATCTATGTAATCAACCCTGCATTTTGTAATGGGATTTGATCTTTTCATTTGATAACCTAATTAGGCTACTCTTAGTGTTGAGTGTGTTACAGGATGGGTGTGAATATTTCATGAATTGTTTTACATGTTTGTGAATCATGTGATATCTTTATTTCTATATCTCTATAATCTTTCTTACATCAATTTGTTTTATATCGCCTCTTTATTTCTATCTTCATTATTGTATAATTAATTCACAGTGTAAATTGTATCTTTTAAAGATTTTAATTTTAAAAACATTCGCTTTTAAAATCATTATGCTGTACGAGAGTATACGTTTATTGCACCTTGTGTTCTTCATGTTCGAGATGTGCGTTGTTTGAACTTTCACACTGTAATGTATATGAGACGATGTTGCCTAGCTAAACATTTCTCTTACTCTCTAAATGTACGAGACCATGTGTTGACAATTAAACATTCTCTATAACTATAAATGTATGAGAAGTGTTGACTTGCTAAACAGTTTTCTGTATTGTTGTTTTAAGAGACAATGTGTTGTGTAGCTTAACATTTCTTTCCCATTATAACTGCATGACAGTGCATTGTGTGTAGAATTGTTAAACATTCTCCATCTCTTTGAAATATACGAGTACTGGACCTTGACAGAAATCTGATCTGTTGGATGGGCTATTATAGCTTAGAGCCTGTCTGACCAACTGACAGTCTACCTCAGAATTCCAGAGGTTAGGTTGTCTTACGTTCTCAGCACCCCTGCAGTATGTCATAACAAAGTTAAATACTCTTTATGAAACAGCTTGGGGATGATACTGGGTTACATTCGCGTATCCCGGTTGAAACGGTTCAGGTTGCGCAGAAATATTCCACCATAAACGAATGCACTTTGACCAAACTAGGCAGAGCTAAATAAAATGCACAGTTTCGGAGAATAAATAACAATATATCAAGAATATTGTGTCTTTCATTCACACGTCCGCTCAATCATATTACATATCTTAAAATCTGCATCTGGTTTGACATTGTTTTATAAAGAAATAATGCAGACTAGCATTTCAGTTTCGGTCGGGCACATGTGGACCCCTCAATCTATACGTACCGAATATTCCTGAGGTCAGCCTCGTTTCAGATCTGCGCCTGTTGTCTTTACAGGTTCAACTGTTTCAACTGGTTGAACCTATACACGAAAGGGGCCCAGGTAGACTAGTTTGTTCCTTTGATGTACATCCAAAGAGTTGTGTGGCAGGGAAATAGTACAGTTGGCTGGCTTTAGAGTTAGGTGAAGCTCCTCTGTAACGTTAATAGGAGTGGTATCAGTATTGTGATTGGTCAGTTTTCTTTCCAGAAAAAACATTCAAATAGCTAACTACGTTCCTTCAATTTTGTCACTACATAATCCAGGGAAGCAGAGAATGTAAGCAAGAAATGCACATGGAATTATAAGGATGACTGATAGATAATACCAATCCATGAGTTAAAATGAGCTATAGCACTAGGCGATGATCAACTATTAACAAATTCATCATACTATATCTAGTGTTCTAACTGGATATGTTTATTCACCTTGATTAATTACAATGTCTAGTGTTCTACCTGCAAATTTGTAAGTACATTGATTACTTGATTGTATAAAGGTAAATTATTTTAGTGTGTCGCTTACTTATGTAACTACAATGATATCAATTGGTTTTATGACTACAACAGTTCAAAATCATCTCTTTGGATGGGTATACTGGTAAACACATGCCTGTCTGGGCGTCAAATCAGACACTCCTTCTAAACATATTCTCTCTGCTAAACAAAATTGTTTAACATTGCTCTTCCTTATGTATGAGGCTGTCTCTCTCCAAGGTAATATTTGTCTCTCACTAATAAATACTATAGGTCACTCTGATAACTTGCAAAATATTTCTAAGTGAATATAATGTTTCATAATGTATTTATTGGGATCACTGAGAAAATATTTCGGCAATATACAAAAATGAACGTTTGCAGTGATAAGAATAGTTTTTTTTTATTGAATAATTGTATATGTCGGGGTATTCAAATTAAAAAAATATAAGGGCATATTTCAGTGTTTATTTTCCAGAATAAAGCAAGCACAAAACATTTGTTTGTCGTTGTAGAATTAGGCCTTTTTTAGCCAGCTACCGCTAATCCAGACGTTACCACATCTGGAGTTAGGCCTTGTTTAGCCAGCTACCGCTAATCCAGACGTTACCACATCTAGAGTTGGGCCTTGTTTAGCCAGCCACCGCTTATCAGGTCTTCAACATATCGAGAGTAAGGCACTGTTTAGCCAGCAACTGCTAATCCAGACGTTACCACATCTGGAGTTGGGCCTTGTTGAGCCGGCCACCGCTAATCCAGACGTTACCACGCTTATCCAGACGTTGCTCATATCATGTGTGGTCTGTCGTACGTAATGTTTCCGTAACTTTTGGACTGTCCTTCGTGTTTATCGCATTTCATTTGGTCTGCCATGCATGGGGGTCCATCTTTCAATGGTTTTGTCGCCTGTGATTGTCTCCCCCATTTCGGTATGTTAATACCCTAAAATCTCGAAAATAAAACACGTTTTTTCTTCTTCATACTTGATAAGGAATCTCCAGCCTATTTTCGAAGCCGTCTTGTTTTCAAAGCCATTGAGACTGTCAAGACATGTACAGATTATTTTCACGTTGGAGGCATTTTAAACGGTCCATACCCTAGTTTCATTATAGTTTAAAATATTCAGAATCATTTATCATAAAAAACTATAATCTGCACAGTATTTTTGGTACTGAAATGAAAGAGGACTTACGATGTCTCGTTGGCAGCATAATTCAGGAATATTTCCCCAAACTACTGCTAGTAGATAATTCTATCCATAAATCACCTATCGATGACGGCATAAGGTTCACTTATGCGCCCAGTATTGGTTGAACGCTGCTCTGGGAAAACCAACGCTCCTCTGGGAAAACCCGCGCTCCTTTGGGAAAACGCACGCTCCTCTGGGAAAACCGACGCTCCTTTGGGAAACCTCACGCTAAGTATTATTTGAGACAAATGCGACCTAGAAGCAAAGACGCAGAATTGAACAGAGATAATATTCAAGTGGCTTCCGATATGACGTCATCATGCTTCAAACGCTTCTGAATGTGTTCAGATGCTATCCTGCCTAATCGCAATTATGAATTATCTCAGGATTGTCACTTCGGACATATAAAATCAAGAGTGGTTATCTCGGCACTGCCATTAAGGCTTTCTATCATTTCTAGTTGACCCTGAAGTTAAGAAGATAATGTCTCTCCCATGCATCTCTACAATACGCAATTTGTAGCAAATATATATTTCTTGCAGTGTGGGGAATGCGCTATCGCCCACAAGAGGGTGAAATTGACTCTATATTCTGCATTTGAATCTACAGCCGTAAAGGCCCCTATTATGGCATCGAGTGGGGCCATTGACTTTATAGGACAGTGACATCGGGGGAACCTTTCAGAATTCTCAGATTACCAAAATTGACACGACATAGGTCCTTTTCATGTCGTCAGAATTACACTGGCAGATACTTTTTTGCCCCTGGGTAATCCATTTGTAAATCTAAAAAAAGGAAAAGAAAAAAATATAGCTATGAAACTTTAACGTGACTAATCGCTGGTATCTTCATTCGGAAATTGAGGCCAAAATTGGAACATAATTTGAAATATTCCCCCTTCTAAATAGAAAAGTAAGCAACCAAAATGGATTATTTCTGGTTAAGTGTCTCTTCTCCTGCCCAGTTGTATAGGCTTTGGTGCCCTTACATAGGGTTCTCGGTTTGATGAAGTTCATTTATGATACATGTATGGCAACATTGGTAAAGTGTAGGATTTGTAATCAAAACGTTCCACCCCGCTGTTTTTCTGTTTTCTAATTTCCTTCTATGTTCAAACATTCAAATTTCGTACAACCATATTCAGTGAAATGCATCGCATCATGTGATTTTAATGGAATACTTCATTTGAAAAGGACAAATATTTCACATTAGTGACAATGATAATAAGATGGCTTACCTTGTTGGTACTAATTTAGCAGTTATGAACTAAGGAATAAATCAATTTCTATCACCTAGAAATTTAACTTTGGTTTGTGACCTCCTAATGACCATAGCTGTTAATATGTTTTTAGCTCACCTGCCCGAAGGGCAAGTGAGCTTATGTTATGGTGCGGCATCCGTCGTCCGTCCGTCCGTCGTCCGTTCATCTGTCCGGCGTCAACTTTTTGCTTTAAACAAATTCTTCTCAATAACCAAAAGGCCTAGGAAGATGATATTTGGCCAGTAGCATGCTGGGATCAAGGGCTACCAAGTTTGTTCAAATAAATGACATTGACCCACATTTAAGGTCACAGGGGTCAAATATGTTAAAATCTTCAAACAACTTCTTCTCAATAACCAAATGGCCCAGGGTACTGATATTAGGCCTGTAGCATGCTGGGATGAAGGGCTACCAAATTTGTTCAAATGAATGACCTTGACTAACTTTCAAGGTCATTGGGGTCAGATGTCTTTAAAATCTTCAAACAACTTCTTCTCAATAACCAAAAGGCCCAGGGTACTGATATTAGGCCTGTAGCATGCTGGGATGAAGGGCTACCAAGTTTGTTCAAATGAATGACCTTGACCCACTTTCAAGGTCACTGG